CCATCTTGACTTGTTGTCCTGAATCATCAAGGCACAAATGTGTTGGGGGCACAGACCCCTCAATGTGTCCAGTTGTGCTATTTCTCTCTCACAGCAGAGAACCGAGTTCCTCTATATAAAACCTTAGACACCACACTCCTTGTGTGCATGGAACTCTTGCAAAAGCAAATAGGAATTTCTTATTTTGATTTTATTGTGATGTGACGCAGCAGCCTTATATTTGAATCTCCAGAAGGAAACGACTGTGTTCCTAACAAGCTAAATGTGCAGGGCCAAAGAGTCAAGATTTTGGTAACTGCCACACTCACTCTGAAGCCCATCTGCCTCCTCGGCCCCCCCACAGAGTAGGCATGTGTCCTACTTAGCAGCACAAGGAAGGGCTAATACCCCGCACCACCACCAGCACAGGGGCAGCTCCAACCAAAATCACTCCCATCATGGGGCATCACCGTACTCTCAGGACACCATCCTCATCCCCATCAGTGGTTGTCTGGGCAACCTCTAAATCTGCCCATACACACAGCCAGAGCAGGGTCTGTGACAGCCCCAAGGAGGCAGGAGCAGGCATGACAAGGATGTCCAAGTGAGGGAAGAGCTTGTGGTGACCTGCGACGGACTCGTCTCGGTATGAAAAATTCTCCTTTAGGAGACAATCAGCTTTCCTTAACTTTCCTGTCCTTAATGTCCACTGTGTTCCCACACAGCTCAACAGGGATGTTCTCACACTCGTACCAGGTCTATGCAAGTTAGGCACATTCTGGGAAATGACTCGATGTTACATCAGGCAATCTAATGGCACACTGGACTTGGCCTAACAGCCTCTCTCTGTCCACCAGATGTCCCTCACCAGCTGGGCACCTCTCATTGAACTTGACACGTCTCTGTGGGTGTGGAACAGGAGAGGATGGACCTGAACAGCCCAGTTACTTTGTGTTTCTTTAATTGTCACAATTATGATGTACAGATATATCCTCCCCTTATGTGTGCAGTCTTACTGTTAGATTGCTGTTTTCTTGTACTGCACAGAAGCATTTTGGTTGATATAGTCCCAGTTGTTTATATTCTCCTTTGTTTCCTGTGCTGCTGGAGATGAATCCACAAACACATCTGAAATTTTTATTGCAGTGTTTCCCCAAGTTTTCTCATGTGTGTTACAGTTTTGGGTCTTACATCAAAGTTTTATTCATTTTGAATTGATTTTTCTGTGTTCTGAGAGAGAGTCATCTACTTTCACTCTGTGTGTGTGTGTCCAGTTTTCCCAATACCATTTACTGAAGAGGCTCCTTGCTCTGGTGTATGTTATCGGCTCAAATTTGTAGATTAACTGTTCCTGTAAGTCTGGTTTATTTCTAGGGTCTTGATTCTATCTCATTGGTCTCTGTGTCTGTTCTAGTTCCTGACCATTCTCTTTATCCAGTATTGTTTTAATTATCATACCTTTATAGTAGAGTTTGAAGTCTGCTACTGTAATAGAGACATTTGATCTTTTTTTTTGTCAGAATTGCCTTGCAATCCAGGGTCTTTTGTGGTTATATTAAAGTTCAGAAATGTATGTTTTATTACTTATAATGAGCCACTGAAAATTTTAGATGATGTGTTGACTCTGTAGGCTGCTTTGTGGAGGATGTTCATTGTGGCCACATTGATTCTTCCAATCCATTCACAAGAAATAACTTTCCATTTCTTTGTGTCATTTTTATGTCTTTGTCAGAGTCTTATAGTTTTCTTAATACAGGCCCTTCACATCCTTTGTTAAGTGTACTAACTAGGTATTTAACTTTTATTTTTATTGTGTGAATGTAAATGGGATCGTTTTCTTAATTGTTTCCTCTTCTAACTCATTGTTCATGTATAGGAAGGCACCTGATTTTGTTTGTGTTTATATCCTGCCCCTTTAAACTGGTTTTTGTTTCAGTTAGATCCAGCATCCATGTATGCTGAACACCCTAAAACTGGACATAAATGGAACTCATACTAAAATAATGAACACTATTTACAGGCATTTATTTCTGAAAACATCCATCTGAATATTGGTTTGTTATTCCCACAATGTTATACGCAAGAAAACAGACTTAAGGACATCTTTTTAAAAAATAATATAAAAAATTGTGTGATCTTTTGTGTATTAGGTGTACAGGGCCCCATACAGTATGTGTGCCTAATTTCTTATGGCTCCTCTCATTCGTAATTTACATTTTATTTTATGTTGCAAAATAACTTCATTATTCATTTGGAACCATAAGTTAATTTCAATGAAGAGCTATTTATTAAAGGAGACACTCCCATTCAATTTTCCATTTACTTTGAGTTTACCTTTTCATTTTTTAAAATGAAGTAACCTTGCATTATAACGTTATATACATTTCAGGTATGCATGCATGGTTATTAAGCAACAGATGTGTATGCGACTCTCAGTTCATTACGAAAATTTCAAATTTACCCTTCCTTATACCATTTTCTTGGTTCCTGATTTCACCACTTCCCCTCCCCAATCTTTCTGTGAGCTTCTAGTTGTTGTTCTATAATCCAAAAGCATATTTTGTTTTATGGACATGATCCGTTTCTTTATTATGTACGAGTGAAATCATATGGTATTGGACTGAGGTCTCGGCTTGACTTACTTCGCTAAGGATAATTCTGTTGTGATCCTTCTGTTGTTGCACGATGTGCAATTTCATGTTTTTAATATCCCAAATAGTATTCCATTATCTATATATGCCACATCTTTTTGTCCATTTGTTGATCATTTGGATTGTTTCTGCCTCTTGGCGATTGTAAGTATTGTAAGTACCATTGCAGTAAACATGGGTGGCACACGCCTCTTTGAATTAGTGTTTTTAGCATGTATTTATTTTGGGGGGGGGTCATATTGATTGTCTTCATTTCTAAATTTTTTTTCTTTTACATATTATTACATCATTTTTCATTTTTGCACAATGTATGCATTTTCATCTTGGTTATAGTCCCCGTACAATTCCCACCCCCTCGTGTATTTTACAGCTAAATATTCACAGTGAGAGAATTCGATAACAGGGAACTTAAGTTCTTCAGTTTTTGAGGAATTTCCATACTGCTTCCAGAACAGATGCACAAGTTTCCCTTCCACCAACATTACCTAAGTGTTTCCTCTTCCAGCCTGGGGCCCTGTGAGCTCAGTGACCAGCACGGGAAAGGAAATCTCCAGCCTCTACCAGAGTGGGGAGATCAGAGTTTTCAGGCAGGGCCCAGAAGGCTTCATAATGGATCCCAGAGCAGAGAAAAGATGGGTCGGGCAGAGAACACAGCACTTCTTTGCAACGTATCAAACAGACTTGCAGCATTTGCAACCCAGTGCCTCAGTGGATAGCAGGGCTGGTGGCTGTGGCATGACCATTGCCTGTGATCACTGCCTGTGGCAACAGCTATTGGGCACACAGCCCACATAGGTGCCCCCTGAATTCCAGGCCAGCTGAGTCCAGAGGTGGAACCCTGTGGACTAGACCCAGCTCCAGTCACCAGGAGACTCAATCCATGGCAGGAACAACTATAGGGAGGTGGGGAGGGATGTGAGGACAATTGAAGAGCAATTGGAGCTTCTGTGGATGGAGGGGGGAGGAGGTGGAGGTGACAGAGTTCACTTCTCAACAAACTGAGACAACACTTAAGCCCCAGACTCCCCACTGCCCACCTCACCCCAAGGTAAACTAGAAGAGAAACAATCAAACTAACCCCCAGCACCCCAGCTGTACACCTGGAAATGAGGTGACATTAGTACTTAGAAACCAAGGAACATCTCAGCGCAGGAAGGAAAAAAAATAGCAGAACAGAAGGTTTGGCTCATAAATACAGGAGCGAGAAGCAGAGGAGTCTCAGTGACATGGAGCAACAGCATTAAATACACCCGTGAGTTATGGGAGGTGACTCAGAGCAGACAGGCCACTGCGAGACCTTAGAGAGAAGATAAAGACCCAGAGAGTCTTCACTGAAGAGATGGACAATATTAAGAGAACAGAAAGCACGCTGACAGTAAATGAACATAAATATGGAAAGTGGTTTCAAGAGAATTAATGGGCAAACAAAAATAACTTCAAAAATTGTAGATCCAAGTGTATAAATCACCCAATAAGGAAAACAGAGAGAAATAAGACAGACCTAGGAAAATAAGGAAACACTACAAAAAATGTTAGACTCAAATGGAAGTGGAAACAAAGGGATAGTGGATAACCCAGAAGATGAAGGAGAAGGGAGGAGGGACACTCTTCAAAAAAATCATTGCTGAGAATTTGCCAAACCTAAAGACTGAAATGAGAATCAATGTCCAGAAGTAGAGATGACACCCGAATTACAACATGAAAATGACCTGCACCTGACACCCCACTGGTGAAGTATAAAAACCAGAAAAAAGAAAATTTTCAGGAGGCCTGAAAAATAGTGAATTTGCGAAGGCATCCAAATGAGGCTGTTAACAGTATTCCCCTGTCACCCTCCATGACAGGAGAGGAAGGAAGTGCTCATAATCCTAAAAACAAGGACTTCCCGCCAAGGATACTCCACCCTGCAGAATTATTCAAGTATGAATGTGAATAAAAGCTTCCCCAGACAGAGAGGCCCATGGAGTTGATCACCATCGGGTCTGCCTGCCTGACAATTAAAGCTGGAAAGGGTTCTTCTACGAGAAAGAAAAAATGAAACACGAAGCCCTGGGCAAAATGACATCACCAGGAGTATTATGGGGCAACAACAACAAACACAAAGCGAAGGAAGGAATTCATCAAAGTAAGGGACAGTGACTGTTCGTCCTGGACACTCATGGATACTTTGATATGACAGGAGTTTTCTGCAGATAATCCATAAGTTGATATAGTTGTACATATTTTTCTCCATTTCTTCCCATTATTTTGTAAGTACACAACTTCCTGTTTGAAACATTTTAGTAAAAAAAAATTCATGCACACTCTACTTTTCTTAATACTGAAGCCAGTACACAGACTACTTAAAAATAATTAAGGAAATGCATAAAACTATTTAATGTATAAAAAACTGATGTCAACCTGTGTAAATAAGACAAAACATAATTATCTCTGACTGAGGACAGGATCATGACTTAGTCCATGGACTGTGAGCCCTGCTGCTCCCGACCAGACAATCTGAGGACAGTAGCTCTGTCATGATGGGGCTGCTGTTCTGCTGAAGAGTCTCCCCAGGGCCTGCTTTATGTCCTTGTTTCTGAGACTGTAGATGAAGGGGTTCAGCATGGGGGTGACCACCGTGTACATCACTGATGCTGTTGCACTGTCCCTGGAGTTGTGGGTAGCAGCGGAGCTGAGGTACACGCCGAGCCCCGTCCCATAGAACAGGGAGACCACGGAGAGGTGAGACCCACAGGTGGAGAAGGCTTTGTACCTGCCGCTCGCTGAGGAGATTTTCAAAACAGAGGACACAATCTTAGAGTAAGAGTAAAGGATGCCACTGAGAGGAACGATCCCCAGAATCCCCGCTGCTAAATACGTCACCAGCTCATTGAGGAAGGTGTCAGAACAGGCAAGCTGGATCACCTGGTCCAGTTCACAGAAGAAGTGAGGGATTTGCAGCTGTGAGCAGAAAGACAGTCGCAAAACCAGTAAGCTGTGTAACAGAGAATGCAGAAGACTAAACACCCAGGATGCAAGAAGCAGGAGGCCACAGAACTGGGGGTTCATGATGACCGTGTAGTGCAGGGGATGGCAGATGGCCACAAACCGGTCATAGGCCATGGCTGTCAAGAGGAGGGTGTCCAGTCCTCCAAAGAGTAAGAAGAAAAACATCTGACTGAGGCAGCCCATGTAGGTTATGACTTTGTTCTGCGTCTGGATGTTCAGCAGCATCTTGGGGACGGTGGTGGAGGTGAAGCCGATGTCGGCAAAGGACAGGTTGGCGAGGAAGAAGTACATGGGGGTGTGCAGGTGGGGGTCCGTGACGATGGCCAGGATGATGAGGAGATTCCCAGTGACCGTGACCAAGTACATGGCCAAGAATGCCCAGAAGAGGAGGGGCTGCAGTGAGGCCTCTTCTGAGAGCCCCAGGAGGGTGAACGCTGTGGGGTGGGTTTGGTTTCCTGGCGCCAGGTCGCTGGTGAGCCTGGGGATGGAGACAGAAGTGATGTCAACTTCACCACAGCAGAGCAATCAAGACATGAGTTTAAATGGGGTGATTTTATTTTAAATACGTTCAGTTAATAAATATCTTATAGAGCCCGTGCCTCTTTCCTGAAATTTTCGAGACTATTAATGACTCACCCTCTGTTTATGCTAAAAATAATTAGCCATTCTACATCTAATGTAAACCTTTTTCTAAGTCAAAATTTTCTTTCAGTATATCCTGAGATTTTCTTTTCAATACGTTTGACCAATTTGTTATCCAAATGTTGTTGGAATCATGGGGAACAATCAGTGAGCCTGACATGGAAAACTCCTAGCTTTAGGGCCTCCCCGAACACTGGGGTTAAGTCTCAGCACTAACACCATGATATGCTGAGCTGTGTCCCCCGCCAGGGAGCCGACCCGCATGGCACAGCAGTCCTCTCCTGGTTTGCCAGCTGCTCCCCTCAGCAGTATATTTCAGTAGATGGGCTTGTCGAGCTCCCAACTCTCTCTCTGGTGGGTGCTCTCACCCCCTGCACCTCTGGCCCTCACCCCAGTTCTTCAGTACACAAAAAAATAAATAAATCTTTTTATAAACAATCCTAGCAACCATATATCCATGAGAAGAGCATTTGGGTTTGGGGAAATAGCCAGAAAAAGATATCAGTACAGGAGTTTTCCTGGCAGCCACAGATCCCAGAAGTAGTGGTTGAAAGACGGGGCGCTCCAGATTGGAGGTGAGATGAGAGATGGCAGGAAGCCCCGACATCCTGCTGCCGTGTGAAGTTCCTGCACATGACATTGTACATTTGCTGATCTTCTAGTGTGTAGATTGTGTTATGTGGCTGGCCTAAGTGTGTGTGTTATGTATTACATGCATAAGTGATCCATAATTTCATCACTCCATTCATTTCTTTCCCTCACATTCCATCTATATTGTGAATGTTTGGTTACACAAGACAGCTTCATTGGGACAGATGTCCAATCTGTGCTTCTCTTTACCTGTAATAAGGATTATTTCCCTTATTTCAGCCACACACACACACTTTCTGATCCATGATTAGGATACCTTGTCCTGTGCACTGAGGCTGAGCTGAGAATTGTAAATCAAATCACTAAGGACAAGGGACATAGGAAGTGTTTTACTTTTCAAAGTAAAATTCTGGGGATCATTCCTCTCAGTGGCATCCTTTTCTCCTACTCTAAGATTGTGTCCTCTGTTTTGAAAATCTCCTCAGCGAGCGGCAGGTACAAAGCCTTCTCCACCTGCGGGTCTCACCTCTCCATGGTCTCCCTGTTCTACGGGACGGCGCTCGGCGTGTACCTCAGTTCCGCCGCTACCCACGACTCCAGAATTGTTGTAAAGATAGTTGCTCTTTTTTCTGCATTGTAAGACACTGGATACCTATGAACAAGAAACTTCGCTGTTGTATCCTTATTTATTTAGTCACTTATTTATTTGTAACTGAGGTAATATTGGAGAACCCCCACCAGGTATTGCCACCATAGTGCACCCACACCCACTCACCCATGTTCCACCACCCCAGACCATTGTTCTTCCCTCCCGCCTTGTTCTTCCCCTTCCCCCTGGCCTACCCCCTTGGTGCCTCAGTTCTGTAGTCAGCCATCAGTGGTTAGTTTTTCAGCTTTTCTTAATCTCTTTTTATTTACTTTATATTCCACATAATGGTCACATCCTCTGGTATTTAACATTCTCAAAACACATTTTCACTTAGCATTATGATTTCAGTTTTCATCCATGTTGCCACAATTGGCATACATTTATCTTTTTGATTGCTGAGTAGTATTCCATGGTGTGTATATATTACATCTTCTTGATCTACCCTTATGTTAGGATGTTTCAGCTATAATCAATAGTGCTGCAATAAATATGGGAGTGCAAGTTTTTCCAAATGAGGTTTTTCTGAATTTTTGGATAAATGCCTAGTAGTGAAATTACTAGGTCAATTGGCAGATACATGTTTACTGTTTGAGACACATCCTCACTGCTCTCTGTGAGGGCTGGGCCAGGCTGCACTCCCCCCACAGCAAGTGTGGCCCACTGCCCTGCATCTGAACAGCATCCCGTCAGGGTCAGTTCCTTTGCACCATCTGTTTCTTAGCAGGCCTGAGTTACCCTCAACTCTGACTGGAGTAAGCTGATTGGGAGACAAATGAATAGATGAATGATTACAAGTATTGTTTAATATTAGAAGTGTCAGGGTCTTATTTTAGAAGTTTTTTAATGTTTCTGTGACCAGAAATCTGCCATAGGAAATTTAATTCTTGTTTATGTCTAACTTACAATATAATGTTTTGCTGTGTATCATTTCACTTGAAGTTGCCATTTCTAAGAACCTATCCATGACATTGACTGAGAAATTATTATATTCACTATACTCTGATATTACAAGACATTGTAATTCATAAAATAAATGGAATAGCAGGAATAATAAAGCTTGCTTAGATATAGCGGGATCAACATGAATGCACTAAGCACAATGGAGCACAAATCCAACACCTTGTGAGGAAAAGATATAACAAGAACTTAATCACATCCACATGGTTCTCTAAAAAGTAAATTGGCAAAGAGTTTAAAATGGAAAATAGGAGGTCACACTTCCCAAGGCAGAGAAAAATGGAGATCCAGCACTATCATTTCTACACAACAAAAATGGATTGCAATATGCTTGAGGAAAATAGATTGTCATTTGAATACGAATGAATGTGTTCCAGGAGATGGGAAGGTGGGGGCTCTCTTTCTGAACAAATTGCCTGCCCATTGTCTTTTTTGTATGCAGAAACTTTTCTGTTTATGTCGCACCACCTGTGGCTTCTTGGTTTTTAGTGTCACAAGGAAGTCATTGCCTATGCAAATACCAGAGAGCGCCTAAACATGTATTTTCCAGAGGACACACGTAGATGGGCAGCAAGCGCATGAGGGGGTGCTCAGGACCACTCACCAGGGAAATGTGAATCTGAACTGGGAGCCTCACCTCACAGCTGCTGACAGAGCTCCCAGGGAGATGACCAAAGGTCAGCACTGAGAGTAGGGTGCAGAGAACCCTGGGGTGCTGTCAGTGGGCTAATATACCACTTCAGGCACAGTGGGTAAGAGAACAGAGGTGCCTCAATATAGCAAAGTTAGACTCCCCCATGATCTGTTCATACATGTACAAAGGCAATGAAAACAGGACATTGAACAGCTTTCTGCACCCCCTTATTTATTTAGATAAAATTTAGAGATTACCTACAAGTCCCAGAGTGGATGAATAAATAAAATAATGTGTACATATATAGATATAAAATATATATGCATAATATATGGTATATGATTGCTCTAATTGTCTATAATAAATATACATGGGTTATGTAAAACATATAATGAGTAATACACACCCAGGATAGTGTGTTGTTAAAGTGCACATTCTATATGATAAAATGTCAAATAATACCCAGTGGACAGAAAGAAGGACACCCTGTCTTTTGTGACCACAGAAGCACCTAAGAAGATTCTGCTATGTGGTTGAAGTCAGAGAACTACAAATCCTGGATATCACTCATGTGTGTGGTCGTAAAACAGACTTAAATTAGTTTCACAGAACGGGGTGGGGAATTTGGGAGAAGTTGTTTGAATATACACACTTGAAGCTGCTGGATGAATCCGGTTCTGGAATCTACTGCATTGTGACATAGTCAACACTAATTCATTATAACCTTCAAAGTTCCTACAGTTATTTCCTAATCGTTTTGTGGCAAAAATAAATGATAATTGTGTGTATTGATGGAGGTGTTAGCTCGGGCTACAGTGTCATCATACTGCAAAATGTAAATATCAAATCAACATGTTTTTCACCAACTTACACACTGTTTCATGTCAATAAAATCTCAATGAAAAAAACAACAGATCAAATCACAAAAGTGAGGAGACAGTAATGAGGAAAAACAGATGTGACATATGTACACAGGGAATAAAATAGCTTATTACTACCAAGAATGCAAAAAAACTGCCTATGTTTAAAGTACATAGTAGGGCACTGTAAGACTGACTGAGGCCCACAGAAAATTGAAAACTTTCAAACATTTTGCCCATCTAGCTATACGTGTATGGAAGAAATAAGTGCAAAACATTTTCAAAAACTCCAATTCTGTGTGATTATTTAAATCACAAACCAGAATGGAAACTCAAGCCACAGTAAGTAAATAAACTGTCAGAATGAGTGCAGTCAACTTATAATTGAAAAAAGTAAAATATTAACAAGCAAAACTACTATGAGAGTTGTCAGTAATAGCATGGCTGTAAAGTAAAACTCTTTGGATCCCTCAACTGATTGACATTAAATAAAACGTGTTACTTCTGGGAGCAGCTAATATGAGGGAAGGGCTACAAAATGTGCACCTCAACAACTGCTGTGGAGAGTCATCTCCCTCCCTTAGTCTGGATGGCTCCACCACAGATGCCCTGCTCACGCACCCACACACTTCCTTCCTTCCCTTCGCATCTAACACTTTATTTCCTGCTGCCTCAATTCCGAACCTTCTTGGCTGGGTCCTGACTTTGCTGGAACCATTTAAGCCTCCCACTCCCCCTTCAGTCTCATCCTAACAGGTTTTCCTTCCTTTCTCTTCACTGTCAGCACCATCTCTGTATTGTTGAGAGCAGTGGACAGTTTTGAGTCACAAATTAAGTAAATTAATTAAAAATTGACGAACAGTCAAGCAAGAGAACAAGGGAACCTCTTGTCCCTGGGCCTGGTTTGGTCTCTGTGACCTGAGGCAGAACTTCTCAGTTTGCGTTTTCCCTGGATCTGTCCCAAGTGCCTGCTGGGCTCTGAGACTCACCTGGGTGGGGGCTGTGAGGGGGGCTTCTCCATGGAGTGTCTGAGTCCCTCCTGGACG